TAATTTAATCAATTATTCTCTGCAAAATAATGGATTTCCTCCGCTTGTTACATTGTGAGTAAACATGTCTTTAGAAGTATCAGGGGCTACCACCGTGTACCCAATAGTGACCACGTTTGACACGGTAGAACAGAAGTGAAACAGAAGACCAGGTTTAACAGTTTCTCCCAAGACCATGAAAGATGAGAATCCTCAGCTGTATGTTTCCCCAATTCTGAAAGACTGGTAAGCTCATAAAAGTTCCTAAATCTGATACAGGGAAGCACTGGGACCCACACAGGACAAAGGTAAGGTTTGAGCGCTCATCAATGCCACTTTCTATTTTTAGAGTATCACAGAATTGATTTGTATGCTGTCAAAAAATAAAATTCAAGTTTATAACATAAAATATAAGAAATAGTTAATTACCAGGTGTTTCAGCTGGAAAAAAACAAATTTGCATTCCCTAAGTTGTGTTAATTCTGCTAAACCTCATGCTCCGTTTGTTGGTATTACACAAGACTGCCACTTGTACTGCGCAATATTTGCAAACTCTCATTCTGCTGTTTTTCTCTCAATAGAGTAGTACAGATAGGGAACAGGTTCAAAGTAGCAGGTCAGGTCACCAGCGTCCTCCAGGGTTTCCAGGCTGTGCTCAGAGCCGACTCCAACCCACTGTGAAACATTATACCAGGATTCCTACTGCTGGGCCACCTTTGCTGGAATGGCCAAAGGAGGTGTCAGTGAGAGCTAACAATCTCCCTCCATTCTGCCTCCTCTTTTGCTCCTGAAAGTAGAAAGTCATTCCATTGACATGCGACAGGACTCAGCTTCCAAGATGAGAGAAATGACCCAAGAGGAAACAGCACCAAGTTTACGAGTGAAGAGTTAAGCAACTGTTCTTAAAGTTTCTGAAAGGGTACTGAGAAGCTGCTGAAGAACCCAGTCAGCCATCTCTTTTATTATTAATTTGTTCAAGGCCCCTAAGGACATTATCAGAAACATGAGCTATTTGAATGGTATTCCAGGGTGCAAACTGAAGCCTCCCTCCTTTTCCTGGCTGAAAGCTAGTAAATCTAGCAGTAGAAGAAACAGGAAGGTAGCCTTCTATCTTTATTATGCAGTTATGATTAAAATTTGAGTAAGATATCTTAACTCTCTGGAAAGGACCATGTGCTCCTCATGTTCTTTTTTCTGTGTTATTGACACTCTGAAAGACATCTTTTTTCTTTCAAGAAAAGCAGGAAATATGTGTGCAACACTTTTTAATGAGCCCAAGTTTGTCCTACATACGTAAAAGTTCAGAATAACAACTTCCATTTCCTGTGTGCCTGGCCCTACTAAGATTTTCCATTTGAGGAAAACAAATCACAGAGAGATTAAGTAATTTCTTAAATTGTCAGAGGCAGGATTTGGACCCCGCTTGGTCTTCCTCCAGAGCTCTTACACTTTCCACTACGCAGGGCTGACTTTCTCACACTTGACCCCCAAAATACACCCAACATGTATTTCTCTCTCTCTGCTTCTTGAGCAGGACAGGAGTTAAAAAAAAGAAAAAGAAAGAAAGAAAGAAAGAAAGAAAACTTGGCTGAGTTTTTAAATCTTGAAACAATTTTCACCTGTTAGTTCCATCAGTGTGATTCTTTGGAGTTTCTAGTTGTCCAGAGTCTTTTAGTTCTGTATCCCATCCCTGGAGGACCACAAGCCAGGTTATTTTCTTCATCACTTGGTTAGTGCCTCATTCCCACAGGGCAATCTTCTCTCTACATTCTTGTGACTTTACAGTCTGAGAGTCAAATCTATATAGTGTATTGCCTTTACGTGCAAAGTATGGACTTTAGACCTACTAAAATACGTACTGAAATAGTAAAATTTTTGTCTTGATGGTTACCCAGAGATTGAGTGACCAGATATCTTAATATACTACAAGAGACTTGGATTGAGAAGAATATAAGTCAGCATTCATGAGCTATTCAGAGTGTGCTAAGCACTTGCAATTGGAAACCAGGAGGCATGGCTTTCCACCCTAGGAGTGGCAGTTCTCAAGGTAACCGAGGCAGAAACGATATGCAATAGAAAGGGGATCTTAAAACACGAGGATCCTCCTTAGCAAGTCACTGTGATACTTGAAATATAATCTCTTTGTTTGAAAAGGTCACAAGTACATTAAAAATGTCAACAATGTTCTCTTTCTTTTGTACTTGGAAAGTACTCAAGGTGCTGGCATGGTTAATTTGAGCCTACAGACTCACACCTTTCACATAGCAGGCATTTGGTAAATATTTGCTGGAAAAATGAATGAAGAGTAGTCTATTTTCTGCTACTAATAACACAATACCACAAATCGGTAAGTTTTAAAGTAAAAGGATTTATTTTGGCCATAGTTCTGGTCTAGGTTGAAGGGCAGGGGCTGGAGATGTAGCTCAGGGGCACAGTGCCTGCCTAGGGTGAGGGGCAGTTATCTGGCAATGGTTTTCTCACTGGCAGAGTATAAGGGTGGTGAAGCAAGCAGGTCACATGGTGAGAGACATGGAGTACAAAAGAGATCTAGCCAAATTTGTATTTATAGGGGACTCACTCTTAAGATTACCCAGTAACCCATTAATCACATGAACAGACTCGCCCATTCATGAAGGCATAGCTCTCATCTCTTCTTGAAGGTCCCACTGCTTAGTACCTCATAAAAAGAGATTAAAATTTTAACATAAATTTCAGCAGGACAAACCACGTTCAACCCACAGCAATAACTGAAAACCAATAACTGGAAACCCATTATTCCTTTTATTATTCCAGCTCTGTGATTCATTCATTCACTCACTCATTTATTCATTCATTCAATAAACAGGCACTATACCTAGTTGACAAGTACCACAGAAGATGCTGAGAATCCAACTTAAAAATATGTGCATGCTTTTTATTCTTAAATCACTTGTTTCTTCTACCTAACCATCTGTTTAACCTAGGGCAATGCTTTCCTAGTCCCTATCTCCATATCAAAAAAAAAAAAAAAGAGGAATAATAAATTTTCTCCATTGTCTATAGAGCTATTATAAAAATGTAGTAGAATACTATGATTAGTAAACTGTAAAGAAGTATACTAATATATCATCAGTAAATTATGTATGTTATGTTTTTGAATTTTTCAGCACATTTAACTAAAGAATAGGGGTCAATGGAAGGATCTTTAAATTAAGAAATGCTGACACAGCTGGCCTAGAAGGTGGATGAACTGTTGAGTAAGAAAGGGGTCTGTGAGCACAAAGATTGCCTCTGAGAGCAGCAAGGTCACCACCTTAGCTGTTGAGAGGGGGTAGCAGAAGGTGGCCAGGAACCTTTTGCTCATCCTTCCCCAGTTAGAGCAGGAGCTGTTGGTTTTGCCTAGATGGTTTACAATGATTCTGAAAGGATCTACAGGTTCTTGGCCTGCTGCTGCCAAAAGCTGAAGTTCCCAGAACCTCAGATGGACTTTTCACTGGCCAGAGGGACCGCTGCCCTGGTTGATAATTTTTCCCCTCTACAATGGTTCCTGGATTTCCTCTCTACAGTGGTGCTGGGTCAATGTACTAGCTCACCCTTTGGTGGTACATCTGGGAGCTCTGGTTCTTCAGCCACAGCTGGTCTGGTTTATAGTTGTTATGGTTGATACATTGTGTCAACTTGGGGAATCTAGAAGCTTAACTAAGTGACTCAGCAGTTCCACATCCTGGGGTGAGAAGGACATGCCTTTACCATTCTGGGATGTTGTTCACTGTGTCAATTTGAGAAGTTTAGAAGGTTAACTAACTGACTCAAGAGGGGGCCAGGGCCAGGGCCCTTACTTTGTATTTATCCTGAGCCTGTGCAAGAGGAGGGCATGGAGATTATGTGAGTGCTGCACACCCCTGGGTGGGGGCAGCCTGCTTACAGTATAAGGGAGGAAAACAGGCTTGTTCCTCCTCCTCTCTTGTGCTCTTGCTGCTGTTGCTGTTTTCCAGCACTATGAACTGTTGCCATCTACCATGTGCCACTGTGCCTTGGAGCCAGCTGAGTATGGACTGTGTTATGGTTGATGCACTGTGTCAACTTGAGGAGTCTAGAGGTTTGGCTAAGTGACTCAGCAGTTCTGCATCTGGGGGTAAAAAGGACATGACTTACCCTTCTGGGATGTTGTTAATTGTGTCAATTTGACAAGTTTAGAAGGTTAACTGTGACTCAGCAGGGAGCCAGGGTGCTTACTTTGTATTCATCCTGAGCCCCAAGAGGAAGGCATGCAGATTGTGTGGGTGTAGAGGACCACCCCCACCTCCCCAGAATGGGTAGACTGCATTAAAAAAAGGAATTGAAGAAGGACTGGCTGCTGATTCTTCCAAGGAGCTCCAGTCTTCGCCTTCAGCTTGGTCATCTCCCGGCTTCTGGTGCAGACTGTCTGGCTTCTGCCTGGGACTCTTCAGCCTTCTGGTGTAGCCTCTTCAGCCTTCATTGCAGATTCTTCAGCATTCCATCACAGACCCATCAGCCCCCTGATACAGACTTGCATGAACACAACAGTGAGCTCCAAGCCTGGGACTGGGCTTTCTAATCTCCAGTGTGCAGACACCCTCTGCACACTTCCTCATCCAACTCTGTGACTGACCATTGTAAGCCAAACTTGTAATTTCTTGTACATTTGTATATCTTGTGTTATACCTATTTCTCTAGTAAACCCTGACTGATACAGACTGAAACCTCCACAAACTGTGAGCAAAATAAACCTTTCCTTCCTTACTTTTGGATGTCAGGCATTTTGTCTCAGCAATGAGAGAAAAGTAACCAAGATAATAGTCAGGCCTGAGAGCCATCTACAGCTGTGTCTTCTGGTCTTTGGTAATGTGAGCTTTAGCCTCCTTGTAGGGGTCCACAAACACAGAAGGGCACTGAACTCTTCCTTAACACTGTCAGTTTTGGGGTGTCCACATTCCCCAAGACTATAAATAGGTCAAAGGCCCAGCAACTTGCCGAAAGATAGTATGCTTCTTGTTTGGATAAGCACAACAGTGAAACATGATAAACAGACTTATTGGTCATGTTAAAGATTTCTTGACCTAGGTACAGAGCTCAAATGGAACTTCTGTATAAAGGGTTTTTGCAGTAGAACACTACATGGCACCTGTGTCCATGGAGTATTTCCTGGATTCACAGGTTCATGTTGGATCTGAGAAGGATAGTGCTATCATACTAATGCTTCCTGCAAAGTATGCTAATCTTTTCCCAGGCACTTGGCATCTAATCACAGTGGGGCTCGAGGTTGAGGTCATCGCTATTGGTGTGCAGCTATGCATGGCTCTTCTTTAGCTGCATAATGTGCCCTTACGGATGGCAGCTACTTTCTGCACAGCCCCTGGAGCTATCACAGCTGACCTTCCATGTAGAATAGAAGGAAGTATTCAGTATGTCCACGTCTTCTCTGGGGACTTTCATGGAGGCTGCAAGAATTTCATGCCTTTGAATTCCTTGTAGAGCTCCTGCAGGGTGTCTCTAGTCTCAACACTTGCATTTTTCAAGTAAGTCCATTTCTGTTTGGCCTTTTCTTCATCTGAGTCTGTAGATTTCATGTTATTTTTAAACAAACAAAAAAAACCACAGACATTGAACTTGTCCAAAATGGTGAGGCCTTGGAGAGCGACGCTGTCCTTTCATCAGAAAGGCTCATTGGTCAGCAGGTCTCTGAACTGCTTGACTCTAACGTTTAGCTGCTGGCAGGGCATCATAGGCATGGACATTGGTGGATATACTGACTGCCAGGATGGCAGTGTTGGTGGTAAACAGGGTGAACAGCACCAGGCAGCAAGATTTCTGTATTCCTCTTCCTTGTTCTTGGCAAAGTTTGACTTGATCAGAGCTCTTCCTTCTACTGGTCCCTTTCTTAAGCCATAAAATAATGGTCAGCAAGTCAAAGATTACATCTTCTTCAAGAGTGCAGACAAGACACAGATGAAGGGCAGCAGTGAGACTTCCATGTTAAGGTCAATGATACAAATTTGTTTGTGGGATACTTGTTTTCTTGTCACCCACGAAAGTATACTTGGCACAGTTAATGTATATCTTGTTCTTCCACCGGACAGCAGTGGCAACAGAGACCAACCAGTGTAGAAAAAAGCCAACTGTTGAAAACCCAAAGCCTCTGTATCTTCTGATCATTTCTGGGTTCTGTACCATATCCTGCAGACAGACAGAAGAGGGAGCTTGGCATACCGGGAACTCTTGTCATGAAAACAGAAAAACCTCACTACAGGAGGCAGCATGCAGACTCTCACCAGATGCCTGCTCCAGTTGAGCAAGAGCCCAAACCAAAACAAAAACAAAAACAAAAAACTTGTATGTGAATGTCCATTTTTTATAATCACCTAAAAGTGAAAACAACTGAAATGTCCATCAAATAATAAATGGATTTTTTTAAAAGGAGGACCTCCAAACAATGGATATCATTAGGCTATAAAAGGGTTAAAGAACTTCTGATTCGTGTTCCAATGTGGTGAACCTTGAAAACATTATGCTAAGTTGAAGAAACCATCACAATGTGTTGCATATTTACATCTAAAAATAATTTATCTCCCCTAAAAGAAAAATATGGATATATTCCATTATTTTAAACTATTATGTTTCAAATTCCAAAAAAACTTAGTTAAATGGTACATTTTTTAAACTTTTTATTTATTTATTTATTTATTTTTTGTGGTGCCAGAAATTGAACTCAGGACCTTGAGCTTGCCAGGCAGGTGCTTATGCTGCTGAGCTACATCCCTGGCCCTAAATGGTACATTTAGACAAAAATTTGCAAGTTATATCCTAAAAGCTCTTTTTTGTTAATTAATAAAGAAATCTTATTAACTACAAGAAAAACAGCAGTGTCCAAGAAAAAACTGGGTAGATGCTCAATAAAGGCCACTGGGCTATCTATTCACATCTGTTTTTCTCTTGCACATTGGTGGAGCTGCAGCTGGGAATCAGGAGCCATCTGTCCTAGCCCTCTCACCCCTGGTGGCCTCAGGATTAGCATAGACTGCACTGCTGAGGGGAGTGTGTGTGTCTTACTTTTCCAGTGTAGGTCTTAAAAGCTGTTCTTCTGATTAGGGCTCAGGACCTAAGTGTGTGTGAGCACACCTCCACAGTCCCATCCCTCTGTGGGTTGGTGCTGCTGTCTAGGCATGGAGGGCCTCAGAAGTATCATCCTCCTCCTTCAGCGCTTGCAGGACCATCCTGTTGTGGAGAACGCTCCACAGATACAGGCCAGTCTCATTATCTTCATCCTAACCTTAATTCCTTACCCCTAACTTCTAACCTTAGCCCATAACTCTAACATAAAGGATAAGTGCCAGCACAGCATGCCAGTTAGAAAGAAACTAATAGAAAGCCTCACTCTAAATGGTTTGCACAATTAAGAGAATTTACTGACTCTAGTAACCAAAAATGCCAGAAAAAATATTGCCTCCAGTTATGGTTTGATCTAGTACATAAGCAAATTCACCAAGAATCTGCTTTGTTTCTAGCTCTTTACTTTGCCCCTTTTGGGCTTAAATTCTAAGGCTTACTTCCCTTAAGATTTCCTATGGCTTCTAGCAGCTCTCAAGTCTGTGTTTATCTTCATGGTAGCCCAGAAGGGAAGATAGAGGGCATTTCTGCTCAGCCTTTCCAAGAAAGATCAGCATATTCATTCTCACTGGGCCTCTTTGGGGTCACAGATCTCCTCTGTAACCAATGTTTGCTTTCACTGAATGGAAGACACTGATTGGCTTAGTCAACTCCACTCCAGAGGATGTGATGATCTCCCTGGGACCTCATGCCTCCCCATTGTAAAGTGGTTGGCAGCTGGGAAAAGTACGAGGATTAACAATGAATGTGAAACTAACAAACTGCCCAATTACCTTTGAAGTAAGGGTCAATCCATAACACTGTCACAAGTAAGTAAAAATACTCGGTATTTGGAAAATTTGGAGGCATGAATAGACTTTCTATGGTATATATGAAATTTAGACATGTAAATAGGACTCTAAAAATATAATAATTAACAGAATTATTGAGATAATCTACAATTTTGCTCTACATAATAGCTGCATAGCTTTACATTTTTGATACATTAAAATTGTACCTAATGATAGGTACCTAATGATAGGTACTTTTGAGAGTATAAAATTTTTCCCTGTCTAAATATGATTTAATATAGTACAATAATAAGAATGAGGAAAAGAGATTTAGAGATGGGTGGTGGGAAGGGGAGGGGAATAATGAAGAATCAAGCTATGTTGTGTACATGCACCTACTTCTAAGAAGAAGGTAATGAATGTAAACTTCATATACTGCAAATAAGTACTAATAAATTTTTTTAAATGTCCCTGTTTAAATCTCTTATTCAAATCACTAGCCAGTCAGGCTTGATGATTTATTATTTTTCTAAAAAGATTGTGTTAGTATTCCATTCTATAACAAAATATCTGGGATAATAGATTAACAAAGAAGAAAAGTTTATTTTGGCTCATGGTTCTAGAGGTTTTGGTCCATGGTTGCTTAGCCCTGTTGCCTTTGGGCCTGTGGTAAGGCAATGCATGACGGAGGGAGCACATAGAGAAGGAAGCTGCTCATTTCACTTCCTGAAGCAAAGAAAAGAGACAGTAAGGGTCAGGGGTCCCAATATCCCCTTCAAGGACTTGTCCCAGTGACCTTCTTTCTACTAGGTCCCACATCTTAAAAGTTCCACTGCCTCCCAGTAGCTCCACAGGCTGGAGACCAAGCCTCCAACATATGAGTCTTTGGGGGACATTCAAGATCTAACCAAAAGCAAAGTTAAAATACCTTTTAACTCTGAATGAGGTTGTCTGGATAAAGATGAGTCCCTCATAGGCCACCCTTAGACAAGGATACACCCATGAAATTGGAAAGTCTCAATTCTTAAAATTTTGAGGTAATATAAATAAATCTCCACTGAAGTTATCTCAAAGGTCCTAAGAAAAGTTGTATGCATAGCAATACACAGCAAAACTTGATGAACATAAGACAAACAGGGGGTCTCCCTCATATACCTCTGACATTTGGGTTACATCCAGAACCAGGACAGTTCCATTTAAAATCATACAAAAAACTCATAAAGCACCTCTTCTGTAGGCAGAACTCCTACCCATTGTATTCAATAATGGTTTGAAATATTTTGATTTGGGGTATGAAGATTCACATGGCTAATCATTAGAGACAACCTGGGAGAGTAGATGGACTTGATGAATGGAGCCATCAATGGCATGACAATTTATTGAACTCAGAGAATGTCAGCTCTATTACAAGAAAAACTTTAGACAAAGTTAATTTAACAGAATTTTTTGAGCCAAGAATGATTCACAAATCAGCACTGTGAACAAGAAGAAGTTCAAAGAGCTCCACCTAGCAGCAGAATAGCGGGCTGTCATAGGCTTAATGCAGAAGTAAAGTACAAAAATAACTTGTTAACACCTAGGCATTTGCCTTATTTAGATCTGATCAGAGCAGTTCATTGCTTGTGATTGGCTGAAGTTCAGCTGCTCCTAGTAGGCTGACACCTGTCAATCTGTTCCAAAAAAAAACCATATTTCTAAGTTGGGTTTCAGTTTGTTCATGCACCAAGCTGAACTGTATTTTCTTATGCAGGAACACGAAGTACAAAGACACCCTCAAGCCAATGGCCTCCTGTTTAACGTAACAGTTGTCTGCAAATGAGCTCTTAGACCAAAAATGGGAATTTCAAGGAAAGTCCCCAAAGGTCCCAAATTCCTAAATAGCAAAAGGTGGTCTTTCACTATTGGAGGGAACAGGCTGTTAGGACGATAGGGCTAGCTCTCAAGGATGCTGGGCAGCTGACTGGAGCATGATACCAACATGGCGAGTGGCTTGCACGGTATGTGGGGTGCCTGCAGCCTCCTTGCAGCACATCATGAAGGAGAAGGGGTGCACACCTCTGGGATCTCTATGCCTGCTTCAACTTCAGTGCTTCACTTTCTATTTTATGTCTTAAGTTCATAAGATTTTATTTGAAGGCTTCCCTTTTTTCAAGGTAATGCCAAAACACGTATTACTGCTATCCCTCCAGCACCAAACATGATAGAAAATACGTATAACAGTTCTCAGGAAACCAGACAGGGGAACTGAAACAAAACAAAACCCCTAGAAGACTGAAGGATCAGATGGAAGGGGAAAAAAATAACACAGCTTAGGGTCCGGCAGCAAAGGCAGGCATAGCCCCAACTCTCTGACCCAGCTGGAGGCGGGATTGTGAAGTAAGTTGGTTTAGGCATAAAGAGGCGGGGGAGGAAGAAAACAGTCACCCTGACCAACCCTTCCCCCACCACACTGTCACTATGAGTGGAGTGCAGCAAAGAGCTAAGGGCTACGGCCACCTCTCCTATCAGCACGCTCTGCACATGGTGTCAATACACAGAATCCTTTATTACAGAAAACTCAATTCGTGGGCCAACTGTCCAAGTGAACACAAGTGCACTGGGGGAGAATCTCAGAGAAAATAACATACATGAATAAAGAAATGTCATATAAGAACATAAGAAATATGGTCTACAGACACAGCAGTTGGAAGGTCATCTTTTGAGAGTCCCCAGGAAATTTTCAGGGGAAGAACTAACATTTAAAGAAATTACAGAGAAGAAAACCGAAATCCTTAGATTGAAAGCACCCCAAAAGGGTACAGCAGGGTACACCTTAATACAAAAAAATGAACGAAGACTCCCTGTAGGCATTGCCATTACATTTTGGAATATCAAGGCCAATGAAACATTCCTAAAATCTTCATGAAAGGAAAACAAAAAACCCCCCACAGAATGTGAATTTGTCTGACATGACACTTCATCAGCAGTACTCAGTGCAAGCAGGCAATAATCAGCTTCTGAAATGTGAGGGATGGGGGTTGTTCTAGAACTCTTTACCTGACCAAATATCAATTTCTGAGGGCAAAAATTAAGACTTTTTGGACATGCAAGACCTGAGAAAGTATCCCACCCAATGACAAGAAGATATAGTCTAATAGAAATAAAAATTAATGGGAAGAGAGTACAGTCAGCAAAAAACAAAGGCAAGCATAGAAATTAGCCAAAATTACAGCTGGGGCTAATGAGTATTGAGTGCAAAACTGTGTACAGCCATGTGTCACTTAATGATGGAGACATGTTCTGAACTCTGGATTTTCAGGT